AGCGGCTTTGTGCAGCCCTCAGATGACACCATCCCTGGGGTGAGCCAAGGCAAAGCCACGCGACGGCGGGGAGGAGACATCCCAGCCCAGATAGCAATCGGGTTTCATCACCAGGACTGGTTGAAGAAGACAACCGGCAGCATCCCAAGCGAGCCCCTCTGCTAAGATGTGGTGCCACCCCTCCAGGTCCATGTGCAAAATATCAGTGAGGTGGTTCAGGGACAACACGAGATGTTTCCCGGCTCCTCCACGAACCCGATGCTCTGACCAAATCCAGGAAAACACGCTCAGGGTTTCCAGACCCCTTCTTGAGCCTGACCCCAAGCGGGTCCTGGAAGTGGGAGATCGGCCGGTGCCGAGGCCAAGCGAGGACTGTGCTTTCTGGAGGTCGTTGGAAGAGGTGGCCCCATTCCCACTGGGAGCGAGCCAGGGAAAACCCAGAGCCTGAAACATGAAAAAAAAAACCCAACCAACAACTTTCGTGCAGGTCGCAGCCAGCCGGCGGTGCCAAAACCCGTTTCATCTCTGTGCAGCAGAACCCAAACGCTGCTTCGGTCTCTAAATATCCCGTTAACCCCGCACCTCCCGGCCCCGAGAGCCTGGGGCAGGCTGGGACCGTGCTTCACCCACCTTGGCCAACTTCATGGTCAGCAGTTTGGTCGGCCAAGATGCCTAATGAGGCCTCTGCTGGGTATGGCTGAGCACAACATCCCACCACTGCAAAGTTAGAGCAGATATTGGACCAATGTCAGGTTTTACCCAGCTCTTCACAGCTCCCTCTGCAACGGTCACCTCTTGGCACGGAGAACTTCAGGGTTCATCACTTGAAGCTGCCGTGGACCGTGTCCTGGCAAAATCACAGCAGATGAGAAGGTTTTAATTCCCTTTTACGTTGAGGGGACTTTGGTGGTGGCCGTGGTGGAGGTGGTTTTGGTGGCATGGAAGCAGACCGCGGCCCCTCGACCCCTTCTCCATGGGGCACCGGCCTCGGGCATAGAGGATGAGCTGGAGGGTGGGGGGTCATCAAGGAGGAGACTTCGGTCTGCCTGGAAATGCCTCACGCAGCAATCCAAACCCCATCTGTCCTCGCATTTGAGAAGTAATGTCGCTGAGCGTTTCCAACGGGAATGTGCGTTTTGATAGGAGGAGGGGGAGAAAAAAAACCCCTTACCCTGGCTTTGGGAAAATGTTTTCGAGTAAAAATCTCCCAGCAGCTGCAATACAATCTTGTTTTGGGGGAGCCCAGCTCCACCCGTGGCCGCTGTCCCAGCCCGTGGTGAGTCACGGAGCGAGCCCAGCTGCCTGACAGCGATTTTCTCCGTTTGACCCCTTTCTCATCCCGAAGAACGGGATTTATGGTGTGTTCCTTTCACTGGGGAAGGGGGTGGTGGTGGTGTCCTTGGCTGGGGGTGGAGGAAGAACCGTTGTGGGTTGGTTTTGGTCCTGAGCTCCTCGGTCATTCCCCTGTCAGATAAACCACCACCACCACCCCCTGCTTCTCCCTGGCTGAAGGACGGAGGGTGACCATGCTGGGCTCACCTGGCAGGAGGGTGGTGATGGGGAGAGGAAGGCCCACAGAAAAGCAACTGGGAGAGGAGGGAGCAAAGCCACAGCGGGGAGGAGGAGGAGGAGGACAAGCCCTGTCCCCCCACCCCAGCTCATCATTTTGGACCAACATGAGCCTCTTCTCACCGTCCCCTCAAGCATGAAGTCAGGGTCCACCTGGGCGGCGTTGACTTGCTCCAGAGTCCTGTCTCCAGGACGGAAGAACCTCCCAACCACCTCAGGTTCCCTTTTGGAAACTCTTTGTGCCCCGGTTTTGCTGGCACCTTCCTCCTCCCGCGTGGTTGTTCAGATCTCTCCTCTCAGTGCAAACCTGAGCTGTCTCTGCTTCATCCCACCTTGATGGCTTCAGGACCGATCCTTGCTCGGTTCCTGCCCTCCCTGCAGCACTTTGGGGCTGCGAACAGGTTTCCCGTCTTGGCAACGACCATTGCAAGGCTCAACCTCCTCCAACAAACCCCCAGGTTTGATGGGGCCCCTCCAGCACCGTATCCAATGGTGGTGGGATGTCCTCAGGTCACCTGGAGGTGCATCACTCAGTGCTTTCTGCAGCTGCGGGCACCACGGGGAGGGCACGGGAGGTGGTCCAAGGCAAGGAAGGGGCAGCACTTGAAGATGCCACCACACTCCCTCTGACCTCCCTCTCTCTTCCCAGCAGCCACCACCACCGAGGAGGGGATGATTCGGCTGGTGAACGGCTCCGGCTCCCACGAGGGACGGGTGGAGGTCTTCTACGACCGGCGTTGGGGCACGGTGTGCGACGATGGCTGGGACAAGAAGGACGGAGACGTGGTGTGCCGGATGCTGGGCTTCCGAGGCGCCGAGGAGGTGTACCGCATGGCCCGGTTCGGCCAAGGTAAGACCCTTCCACCTCTTACCTCCACCACATCCAACAGCAATACCTTGGGCCAGCCCATAAATAAACCACAGACCCCCCCAAAAAACCACCCTGGAGGCATCCAGCATGTCCCCCACGAGCAGGACAGGGGCCGTGGTGGTCCGAGAAGCTTCAGTCTGGTCAAGCATTGGTTTATTCAGCACGGCCAGCCCCGGGTGTCTGCAGATATTTTGGCGTTGGCTGATGGGACGGCGTGCGAGCACATGGCTGGCGCCGGCCCAGGCGGCTCCTTGCCCTGCTCCGGCTCCCTCGGCGCGCACGCCCTGCCGCACGCTGACTCAGCACCGGGAGAACCGGCCCTTGGGGCTTGTTGTTTTGGGTTTGGTTTTTTTTGAAAGCAGGCTTTGGGGGGTTTTCAGCCGGATATGACTTTTGAGATCTCTTTTCATTTTAGAATAACGAAAGGGAGGGTAGAAAAAAAATAAAAGGAAAAGCTTTTAAAAACATTGGGGAAATGTCAGGAACGCTTCGGTGGGTGGAGGGGCGGCCTTTGGCCCCAAACCGTTGGGATGGGGTCACAGAATCACAGAATCACAGAATGGTCAGGGTTGGAAGGGACCTCTGGAGATCATCTAGTCCAACCCAGACCAGCTCTCTTTCCACGTCGGCTTTTTAACTCCTTGAGCTTCCTTCTCTCCGGCTGTTCCGGGCTGCCAAAGAGATGATGGATCCCAAAAGCAGGTAGTCACCACAGCCATCATCTAGTCATGAACATGCCACAGAATCACAGAATCACAGAATGGTGAGGGTTGGAAGGGCCCTCTGGAGATCATCCGGCCCAACCCCCCCACCAGAGCAGGGGCACCTCCAGCAGTGGCACAGGACGGCGTCCAGGCGGGTTTGGAATGGCTCCAGAGTGGGAGACTCCACCACCTCTCTGGGCAGCCTGTGCCACTGCTCTGCCGCCCTCAAAGTAAAGAAGTTCCTTCTCATGTTAAGATGGAACTTCCTATGTTCAAGTTTATGCCCATTACCCCTCGTCCTATCAAGTTGGCCAGTTGGCCAGTCCTTCTCTGCCAGCACAGCTGGACCCCTCCAAGAGTTGGTGTCCTTCACACCACCCTTGGGAGACCTCAGAGGTCGTTTCACCGCCAGCGATTTGGTTGCCCATTCCTTGGTTTCTTCCCCCTGCATCCCACCCTGCTTCTCCACCGCTCCCCAAAGCTGGTACAGCCGGTTGGGGTCCTGGCACGCTGTCATCCGGAGCCTACCTTGGGGCATAGGCTTGGCTTGGGGTGTCCCAACTGGAAAGAGCCACCGCTCCTCCTCTTGTGACCCTCTTGGCACAGCGAGGAAAGCGCCGGAATCCCCCCAGCCCAGCAGATGCAGAGGCACAGCCCCAAAGGTCCTGCCACACCATGGTGCTGCTTTTGGTCATCCTTGGTGGGGCAGAACACCATTGATGACCCATTGAGTGTGGTACGTCCAGTGCCTTGCCGTGGCCACAACCGCCTGCTGGTGGCTGGTGTCTCTTCTGGGGGTGATTACTCCAGAACAGGGATTGTGCATCCCCAGGGGCTTAGTAGCCCCCAAAATCTGGGGGTACCCCACCTCCACGTGTCAGATGGACTCTGCTGCATCGATTGCGTGTGTGGGCAGACCTGGGGTCCGCATTTCCATGGGGGGAAATGGGGAGAATCATTCAATGACAGAACGGTTTGGGTGGGAAGGGACATCTAAAGACCATCCAGTGCCACCCCCTGCCCTGGGCAGGGACACCTCCCCCCAGCCCAGGTTGCTCCAAGCCCCGTCCAACCTGGCCTTGAACACCTCCAGGGATGGGGCAGCCACAGCTTCTCGGGGCAGTTGTGGATCACCAACACCCACGTCACCGATGACTAATCACAGGAAAACTTTGCAGAGCAACTCTGTTCTTGCACCATTCTTTCTTCTTCCCTATTGATCCAGACGTCCATGGAGCCGGTCTCGCACCAGTCCCTGATGTCCACCGCCCAGACGATACTGGGAGGGTCTCAAAGCCCTGTCATGGGGGGCTATAGGATGCTATAGGTTGTCCAGGGGGCGTCCTTCATCCTCCATGGAGAGCTTGAAGCTTCCGAGAAGCCAAATCCTTATTTCCAGTCGTGTAGTTTATTTTGCGGGTGTCCCTCACCGCGTCCCCGTTTTTCGCAGGCACGGGGAGGATCTGGATGGACGACGTCTCCTGCAAGGGGACAGAGGACAGCCTTCTGCGCTGCAGCTTCTCCAGCTGGGGCAAGACCAACTGCGGCCACGCCGAGGACGCCGGCGTGAAATGCCTGACGCCGTGACGGCGCGGGAGACGGGACGGGACGGGACGGGACGGGACGGGATGGGATGGGATGGGATGGGATGGGATGGGATGGGATGGGACGGACACCCCCGGCCTGGCTGTGGGGGGTCCCAGGGGTGGGGGGCTCGGGCCACCCCACGGATCTCACCTGCGCTTCCTGAAATGGTTTTATTATTAGAGAAATAAATGCTTTTTTATTATTCTCTACCTGCCGGGGCTGCCGTGCTCGGAGGGGGTGTCGGGGCGGGGGGGGGGGGCAGACGTTGGAAAAGCGATGGGGATTCCCCCCCGATACACCCCCCCCAAG